TAACTGTGTGTGTAACTGTGAGTGTAACTGTGTGTGTAACTGTGTGTAACTGTATGTGTAACTGTGTGTGTAACTGTGTGTATAACTGTGTGTGTAACTGTGTGTGTAACTGTGTGTGTAACTGTGTGTGTAACTGTGTGTAACTGTGTGTGCAACTGTGTAACTATGTGTGTAACTGTGTGTGTAACTGTGTGTGTAAATGTGTAACTGTGTGTGTAACTGTGTGTGTAACTATGTGTGTAACTGTGTGTGTAACTATGTGTGTAACTGTGTAACTGTGTGTGTAACTGTGTGTGTAAATGTGTGTGTAACTGTGTGTGTAACTGTGTGTAACTGTGTGTGTAACTGTGTATGTAACTGTGTAACTGTGTGTGTAACTGTGTGTGTAACTGTGTGTGTAAATGTGTAACTGTGTGTGTAACTGTGTAACTGTGTGTGTAACTGTGTGTAACTGTATGTGTAACTGTGTAACTGTGTGTGTAACTGTGTGTGTAACTGTGTGTAACTGTGTGTGTAACTGTGTGTGTAACTGTGTGTGTAACTGTGTGTGTAACTGTGTGTAACTGTGTGTGTAACTGTGTAACTGTGTGTGTAACTGTGTGTGTAACTGTGTGTGTAACTGTGTGTGTAACTGTGTAACTGTGTATGTAACTGTGTGTGTAACTGTGTGTGTAACTGTGTGTGTAACTGTGTGTGTAACTGTGTGTAACTGTGTGTGTAACTATGTGTGTAACTATGTGTGTAACTGTGTAACTGTGTGTATAACTGTGTGTGTAACTGTGTGTGTAACTGTGTGTAACTGTGTGTGTAACTGTGTAACTGTGTGTGTAACTATGTGTGTAACTGTGTGTGTAACTGTGTGTGTAACTGTGTGTGTAACTATGTGTGTAACTGTGTGTGTAACTATGTGTGTAACTGTGTAACTGTGTGTGTAACTGTGTGTGTAACTGTGTGTAACTGTGTGAAAACTGTGTAACTGTGTGCGTAACTATGTGTGTAACTGTGTGTGTAACTGTGTGTGTAACTATGTGTGTAACTGTGTGTATAACTGTGTGTGTAACTGTGTGTGTAACTGTGTGTGTAACTGTGTGTAACTGTGTGTGTAACTGTGTAACTGTGTGTGTAACTATGTGTGTAACTGTGTGTGTAACTGTGTGTGTAATTGTGTGTGTAACTATGTGTGTAACTGTGTGTGTAACTGTGTGTAACTGTGTGTAACTGTGTGTAACTGTGTGTGTAACTGTGTGTGTAACTGTGTGTGTAACTGTGTGTGTAACTATGTGTGTAACTGTGTGTGTAACTGTGTGTAACTGTGTGTGTAACTGTGTAACTGTGTGTGTAACTGTGTGTGTAACTGTGTGTGTAACTATGTGTGTAACTGTGTGTGTAACTGTGTGTGTAAATGTGTAACTGTGTGTGTAACTGTGTGTGTAACTGTGTGTGTAACTGTGTAACTGTGTGTGTAACTGTGTGTGTAACTGTGTGTGTAACTGTGTGTAACTGTGTGTGTAACTGTGTATGTAACTGTGTAACTGTGTGTGTAACTGTGTGTGTAACTGTGTGTGTAACTGTGTGTGTAAATGTGTAACTGTGTGTGTAACTGTGTGTAACTGTATGTGTAACTGTGTAACTGTGTGTGTAACTGTGTGTGTAACTGTGTGTATAACTGTGTAACTGTGTGTGTAACTGTGTGTGTAACTATGTGTGTAACTATGTGTAACTGTGTGTGTAACTATGTGTGTAACTGTGTGTGTAACTGTGTGTGTAACTATGTGTGTAACTGTGTGTGTAACTGTGTGTGTAAATGTGTAACTGTGTGTAACTGTGTGTGTAACTGTGTGTGTAACTGTGTGTAACTGTGTGTGTAACTGTGTAACTGTGTGTGTAACTGTGTGTGTAACTGTGTGTGTAACTGTGTGTAACTGTGTGTGTAACTGTGTAACTTTGTAACTGTGTGTGTAACTGTGTGTAACTGTGTGTGTAACTGTGTATGTAACTGTGTAACTGTGTGTGTAACTGTGTGTGTAACTGTGTGTGTAAATGTGTAACTGTGTGTGTAACTGTGTGTGTAACTGTGTGTAACTGTATGTGTAACTGTGTGTATAACTGTGTAACTGTGTGTGTAACTGTGTGTGTAACTATGTGTGTAACTGTGTGTAACTGTGTGTGTAACTATGTGTGTAACTGTGTGTGTAACTGTGTGTGTAACTATGTGTGTAACTGTGTAACTGTGTGTATAACTGTGTGTAACTGTGTGTGTAACTGTGTGTAACTGTGTGTAACTGTGTGTGTAACTGTGTAACTGTGTGTGTAACTATGTGTGTAACTGTGTGTGTAACTGTGTGTGTAACTGTGTGTGTAACTATGTGTGTAACTGTGTGTGTAACTATGTGTGTAACTGTGTGTGTAACTGTGTGTGTAACTGTGTGTAACTGTGTGTAACTGTGTAACTGTGTGCGTAACTATGTGTGTAACTGTGTGTGTAACTGTGTGTGTAACTGTGTGTGTAACTATGTGTGTAACTGTGTGTATAACTGTGTGTGTAACTGTGTGTGTAACTGTGTGTAACTGTGTGTGTAACTGTGTAACTGTGTGTGTAACTATGTGTGTAACTGTGTGTGTAACTGTGTGTGTAACTATGTGTGTAACTGTGTGTGTAACTGTGTGTAACTGTGTGTAACTGTGTGTGTAACTGTGTAACTGTGTGTGTAACTGTGTGTGTAACTGTGTGTGTAACTGTGTGTGTAACTGTGTAACTGTGTGTGTAACTGTGTGTGTAACTGTGTGTGTAACTATGTGTGTAACTGTGTGTGTAACTGTGTGTGTAACTGTGTGTGTAACTATGTGTGTAACTGTGTGTGTAACTGTGTGTGTAACTGTGTGTGTAACTATGTGTGTAACTGTGTGTGTCTGTGAGCAGTGACGTCATATCGACAGTTTGTTCACTGCTGAAATTCGTTTCTCAAAGAAGAAAATGAAAGCACACAAAAAAAAATCGTATTCACAAGTACGAAATCACAAATACAGTTTTATACTTTTCAATTCTTAATTACAAAATTCCATGTCTTTTTAGTTTGTATTTTCTTAATCATGAATTAATACAATATTTTTATGCACAAATACCAATAAATATGCACACATTTTGTTTAGACATGCACGTCTGACCCCAAACTCAAGTCTTTGTTTTTCTTGTGAATGAACTTTTGCCTCAGTTCAAAGTTCTGAACAAACATTAACCTTATGTTTATGTTATCCTTAAGTCTGTGGAAACAGCTCTAACTATCTCTATCTCTAACTTTAACTCTAACTCTATCTTTAACTCTAACTCTATCTCTAGCTCTATCTCTAACTTTAACTCTAACTGTAACTCTATCTCGAACTTTAACTCTAACTTGAATTCTAACTTTAACTCTAACTCTAGCTCTAACTCTATCTCTAACTTTAACTTTAACTCTAGCTCTAACTCAAACTTTAACTTTAACTCTAACTTTAACTCGAACTCTAACTAACTTTATCTCTAACTTTAACACTAACTCTAACTGTACCTATATTTCTAACTCTATCTCTAACTTTAACTTCAACTGTAATAATAATGACACAAGAATTCTCTCAAAACAAGTTTTTCCAGTTTGCAGCAGTTTGTGTTTATAAGATCTTTACTTCCTCCTCACAGACCTGAACAACTCTAAGATCTCTAAGGTTTCTGAGGTCTCTAAGGTCTCTGAGGTCTCTGAGATCTCTAAGGTCTCTGAGGTCTCTGAGGTCTCTGAGGTCTCTAAGGTCTTTAAGGTCTCTAAGATATCTCAGTCTCTAAGGTCTCTACGGTCTCTGAGGTCTCTAAGGTCTCTAAGGTCTCTGAGGTCTCTAAGGTCTCTGAGGTTTCTGAGGTCTCTAAGGTCTCTGAGGTCTCTAAGGTCTCTGAGGTTTCTGAGGTCTCTAAGGTATCTGAGGTCTCTAAGGTCTCTGAGGTCTCTGAGGTCTCTAAGGTCTCTGAGGTATTTAAGGTCTCTAAGATCTCTCAGTCTCTAAGGTCTCTAAGTTCTCTGAGGTCTCTAAGGTCTCTTAGGTCTATAAGGTCTCTGAGGTCTCTAAGGTCTCTAAGGTCTCTGAGGTCTATAAGGTCTCTGAGGTCTCTAAGGTCTCTAAGGTCTTTAAGGTCTCTAAGATCTCTCAGTCTCTAAGGTCTCTAAGTTCTCTGAGGTCTCTAAGGTCTCTGAGGTCTCTAAGGTCTTTAAGATTTCTCAGTCTCTAAGTTCTCTGAGGTCTCTAAGATTTCTAAGTTCTCTGAGGTCTCTGAGGTCTCTGAGGTCTCTAAGGTCTCTATGGTCTCTCAGTCTCTAAGGTCTCTAAGGTCTCTGAGGTCTCTGAGGTCTCTCAGTCTCTAAGGTCTCTGAGGTCTCTGAGGTCTCTAAGGTCTCTATGGTCTCTCAGTCTCTAAGGTCTCTAAGGTCTCTGAGGTCTCTCAGTCTCTAAGGTCTCTGAGGTCTCTGAGGTCTCTCAGTCTCTAAGGTCTCTGAGGTTTCTGAGGTCTCTAAGGTCTCTGAGGTCTCTAAGGTCTCTGAGGTCTCTGAGGTCTCTGAGGTCTCTGAGGTCTCTAAGGTCTCTGAGGTCTCTGAGGTCTCTAAGGTCTCTGAGGTCTCTGAGGTCTCTGAGGTCTCTGAGGTCTCTAAGGTCTCTGAGGTCTCTAAGGTCTCTGAGGTCTCTGAGGTCTCTAAGGTCTCTGAGGTCTCTAAGGTCTCTGAGGTCTCTAAGGTCTCTGAGGTCTCTGAGGTCTCTGAGGTCTCTGAGGTCTCTAAGGTCTCTGAGGTCTCTGAGGTCTCTAAGGTCTCTGAGGTCTCTAAGGTCTCTGAGGTCTCTAAGGTCTCTGAGGTCTCTAAGGTCTCTGAGGTCTCTGAGGTCTCTGAGGTCTCTGAGGTCTCTAAGGTCTCTGAGGTCTCTGAGGTCATAACATTATACTAAAACGCTGGTTGGTTTCTCGCTGATTCTGACGTGTTTCTTACCTGCTCATGATGCAGCTTCAGGGGCGTTTTCTGCAAAAACTTCTTTAAGCTTCTGTAAAAACTTGTGTCTAAACTTGTGCAGAGACGTGTCTCATGTGGCGCTCCGCTCTCATGTTTTTGGAAACGCCTCCGTTTCCTCCGCCCGTACAGAAAGGTTCAGGTTTTAACCAAAGAATCCACATGGAATCTTAAATCAAACCAGGGTTATACAAATATATATAAATATATATTTACTACATATATTTATATTCATATAATAAATATTTATTTATAATATAAACCAGCGAGCCTCAGTCACGTGATCATGTCCAGTTTGTCAATAATAAACAGCATTAGTTCCGTGTTCGTTACAGAAGAGAGGAGGGAGGAGAGAGGAGGGAGGAGAGAGGAGGGAGGAGAGAGAGGAGGGGGAGGAGGGAGGAGAGAGAGGAGGGAGGAGAGAGAGGAGGGAGGAGAGAGGAGAGAGGAGAGGGAGGAGGGAGGAGAGAGAGGAGGGAGGAGAGAGGAGGGAGGAGAGAGAGGAGGGAGGAGGAGAGAGAGGATGGAGGAGAGAGAGGAGAGAGGAGAGAGAGGAAGGAGGAAGGGGAGGGAGGAGAGAGGAGGGAGGAGAGAGAGGAGGGAGGAGAAAGAGGAAGGAGGAAGGGGAGGGAGGAGAGAGGAGGGAGGAGAGAGAGGAGGGAGGAGAGAGGAGGGAGGAGGGAGGAGAGAGAGGAGGGAGGAGAGAGAGGAAGGAGGAAGGGGAGGGGGAGAGAGGAGAAAGAGGAAAGCGGAGGGAGAGGAGAGAGAGAACATCATGGCGCCCCCTGCTGACTCCTCCTTCTGACTCCTGCTGACTCCTCCTGCTGACTAGTAATTTGGGCTAGGATTAGCCATACTTCTAAGTTACTGTGATTGATAGTAAAGACAATAAAGCTGTTTTGAGCCTGATTCTGGTCGAAACTATGAATAATGACGTCATGGGCGGTGTCTCCGTGTTACAGAAGTTGTCCACACGAGGGCGCCATAAGTGAGGCTGGGACTGTAGACTCACCCAGGACTAAAGGTAAAGGTGCACACACATACAGACCCCCCACTGCTGCACCGTACACAGGGGCCCCTCCCTTGGGGCCAGACTCTGTAATCCACTACATCTGTAACTGTTTCCTTCTGAACCACAGCAGCAGAAAGTCAGACTGAAGACTGTGATTATGAAGAGGATAATGTCAGAGGACGACAGGAGGGGGGAGGTGGGGGTGGAGGGGGAGAGGGGGGAGTTATATACAGTACAGAGCAAAGTTTGGACACCCTTTCTACTTCACTGACTGTTGCTGTATCAGGCTGTGTGAGGAGATGGAACAATAAAAAAAATAGTTTTTTTCATAAAGAATCTTTAGAAACTTTGATTTGTCTGTTGGTTCTCTCTGTACCTTTGCTCAGAGATGTTGGTTCTCTGTACCTTTCCTCAGAGATGTTGGTTCTCTCTGTACCTTTGCTCAGAGATGTTGGTTCTCTGTACCTTTCCTCAGAGGCAAGGCAAGGCAAGTTTATTTGTATAGCACAATTCATACACAAGGCAATTCAAAGTGCTGAACAGAACAAGAAAGCATTAAAATCATAAATAATCACAGTACATTAAAAAAAAGATAAAAATATAAAATCCCTCAGTTGTATGCACAGCTAAACAGAACCGTCTTTAACATGGTTTCGAACATTGTCAGAGAGGAGGCCTGTCTCACATCTTCAGGAAGACTGTTCCAGATTTTAGCAGCATGAATCTGAAAAGCAGCCTCCCCATGTTTAGTTCTGACTCTGGACACTAACAGGAGTCCAGTCCCTGTGCTCCTCAGAGTCCGGGCTGGTTCATATGGGACTAACATGTCACTAATATAGTTTGGTGCGAGGCCATGGAGAGACTTGTAACAAGCAGAGCTGTTTTAAAGTCTATTCTCTGAGCCACAGGAAGCCAGTGCAGAGACCTGAGGACCGGACTAATATGGTCGTACTTCCTGGTTCTAGTCAGGACTCGAGCTGCTGCATTTTGAATGTACTGCAGCTGTTTTACAGCCTGTTTGGAGAGACCTGTGAGCAGTCCATTGCAGTAGTCTAACCTACTGGAGACAAATGCATGGATAAGAATCTCCAGGTCTGCTTTAGACACTATGTTTTTGATCCTGGCAATGTTTTTTAGATGGTAAAAAGCTGCTGATGTTACTGATTTGATGTGGCTATTAAAATTTAAGTCTGAGTCCAGTATTACCCCTAGATTTCTGACCTTGTTTGAAGGTTTTAGGGAGAGAGACTGTAGGTGACAGATGACGCTCTCTCTTTGTTTCTGGGGACCAAAGACAATCATTTCAGTTTTGTCTGCGTTTAGCTGAAGGAAGTTGTTTTGCATCCACTCACTGATCTGTTGGATACAGTGAAGGAGTGAGTCCACTGGTCCATGTTCTCCTGCAGTCAGTGAGACATAGATCTGAGTGTCGTCTGCATAGTTGTGATAGGACACTTTGTTTCTGCGTATTAACTGACCTAACGGCAGCATGTAGAGATTGAACAGAAGAGGTCCCAGGATCGACCCCTGTGGTACTCCACAGGTCAGGGCCATATGATCTGAGATACAGTCTCCAATCTCCACAAAGTACTTCCTGTCTTCAAGGTAAGACCTAAACCAACTTAGGGCGGTGCCAGCGACTCCAACCCAGTCCTCTAGTCTCTGTAAGAGGATCTCATGGTCGACGGTGTCAAAGGCAGCACTCAGATCTAACAAGATTAAGATTGAGACTTTGCCTGCGTCAGTGTTTAGCCGGATATCGTTTGTAACCTTGACAAGAGCAGTCTCAGTGCTGTGGTGGGGTCTAAAGCCGGACTGAAACATATCAAATGAGTTGTTAATTATAAGAAATCTAGTAAGCTGTAGGTAGACAACTTTTTCAAGGACTTTCCCCATAAATGGCAGATTTGAGATGGGACGATAGTTGTTAAGTACCGTAGCATCCAGGCTGCTCTTTTTTAGCAGGGGCCTGATGACTGCAGTTTTCAGGGCCTTTGGGAATATTCCAGAATGAAGGGACATGTTTACTATCTGTGTGAGTGAAGGTAACAGACTGCCCAGAACAGACTTCAGAAATCTAGTGGGTAGTACATCCAGGCTGCATGTGGAGGAGCTCAAACTGGAGATTATTTCTTGGACATTTTTATCATCTACAGGTGCAAAGTAAGTTAGCTCAGAGAGCCTTTCTGGCTGTTGGATGGTTATCTGTGGATTGGAGACAATGGCGTTTTTGATGCCTTTTAACCTTGTCATTGAAAAAGTGTGCAAACTCATTGCATTTACATTTGGAAGTTAGCTCTAATGGCTTTTGAACAGGGGGGTTTGTTAATCTATTAACTGTTGAAAACAGAACACGCAGATTGTTGCTGCAGCCTTCAATCATTTCAGAAAAATACCTTTCTCTCGTACTACGTAGCACCCGGTTAAACTCACACAACTTATCCTTGAATATCTTGTAATCAACCTGGAGGTTGGACTTGCGCCACTTCCGCTCGACCCTCCGGCACTTTCTCTTCAGTGCTCTGACCGAGTCTGCTTTAGCCCACGGCGCCTTCTGCTTATTTTACACTATTTTAACCTTCACAGGGGCAACGGTATCCAGAACATTCAAAACACTAGAGGTGACAGAGTTAAACAGTTCATCTACAGTAGAATACGATGCATTTTCAAAGTTTATCATTCCCATAAATAGTTCACTCATATTTTCATTTATGTGTCTTCTTCGAACAGTTGCAGAGTCCACTGGTGGTTTGTTAGTGAAACACATGTCAAAAAATACACAGAAATGATCCGAAAGAGCAACATCGACCACGCTTATATTTGAAATATTCACCCCCTTTGTAACTAACAGGTCTAGAGTGTGCCCTCTGCTGTGGGTGGGGCCACTCACGTGCTGAGTGAGACCAAAGGTATCAAGTAAAGAACTCAGCTCTTTTGCATTTCTGTCATCAACATTATCCACATGAATATTAAAATCACCTGTAATAACTAAACTATCAAAATCTGTGCATACAACTGAAAGCAACTCGGTAAAATTACCAATAAAACTGTGACATGACTGCGGTGGCTTGTATAGGACTATGAAGAGTATTGGAGGAGATTGTTTTTGTTGTATTTTAAAAGACACATATTCAAAAGACGGAAACTTCCCAAGAGACATTCTATGGGAGACAAAGTGGTCTCTAAAAATGGCAGCTAAGCCTCCTCCTTTTTTGTTTTCCCGTATTTCAGATTCAAATTTGAAATTTGGTGGTGATGCTTCTATTAAAACTGCATTTTCTGTATTTTGGTCAAGCCACGTTTCAGCCATGAACATACGATCTAGATTATAAGAACAAATAAAATTATTGATTAAAAAAGACTTATTACAAAGAGATCTGACATTTAGCATAGCAAGTTTCAAAGTTTCAGTATCAGCGGTTGTGGTCGGCTGATTCTTACACGGAACAAGAATTAGATTTTCCAGATTAGACTGATTAACTCCAGATGTTTTTCTGTAATGTATTCTTTGTGTTATCACTAAGGGAATGGCACAGGTGGCTTCATGACAGGGCCCCAGCCGGGTCTCTAACTAGACTGCCAGTGGCTGCGAAGCAGAGACCCTGTGCATCCTAGGGAGAGGAGGGAGGAGGATGGAGAGGTGGGTGGTTCTTGGGTGTTGGACGAGGTGATGTTGGTTCTCTCTGTACCTTTGCTCAGAGATGTTGGTTCTCTCTGTACCTTTGCTCAGAGATGTTTTTATTTACACTGAGGATCTGTGATTAAAGCTGAGGGACCTGACTTTCACACCAACACAACTGTCCTTGCTCTCAGCCAATCAGCGGTCAGCCCTGAGACTGGGACAGTGCAGTGGACTCTTTCTGTTTGAACATCGTCCATGAACGATAAAAGTCAGGGACCGAAGCTTTAATGTGAAACATGAGAAGTTTCAGTAAATAACAAGATTTAACCACAATTTTTATTCTTTGTATTTTAATATCAATAATTTCAGCTGCAATAAAACACATGTGTCGTTTCCGTCTGGTCTCTCTCTGGTCTCTCTCTGGTCTCTCTCTGGTCTCTCTCTGGTCTCTCTCTGGTCTCTCTCTGGTCTCTCTCTGGTCTCTCTCTGGTCTCTCTCTGGTCTCCTCTGGTCTCTCGCTAGTCTCTTCTGGTCTCTTCTGGTCTCTTCTGGTCTCTTCTGGTCTCTTCTGGTCTCTTCTGGTCTCTTCTGGTCTCTTCTGGTCTCTTCTGGTCTCCTCTGGTCTCCTCTGGTCTCCTCTGGTCTCCTCTGGTTCTACCAGCTGAAGAGTTTGAGAAAGTTCTGGAATCCGTCTTCTCCAAAGAAGTCGAAGGATCCCTGTGATCCCTGTAGTCCCTGTGATCCGAGGTGGATGAGGAGCAGGACCAGCACGACCAGCAGCAGCAGAGGGATCAGCAGGTTCCAACCAGCAGCAAGAATGTTGTACCATTTAGCTTTGTCCGCACACTCCTGAGCCAGGACCAGGTTCCCCTGGGTCTTCTGGTCCCGAGCCTGTAACAGGAGGAGGGGTCAGAGAAGGAGGAGGAGGTTTAAGGAGAGGGGGAGGAGGAGGAGGAGTCAGAGGAGGAGGAGGAGGTTTAAGGAGAGGGGGAGGAGGAGAGGAGGAGTCTAAGGTCTTGTGTAGACCAGGCCTGAAAACCATGTAGTTGCAGCTTGTGGCCAGTAGGAGGCAGTGGAACAACAGCAGTAGAAGCAACAACATTCTCCTCAAGCCAAAGACGGGAAAGAACCAACATCCTTCTGTAACAGCGGCAGACAGGAGTCAGCCCTGTACTCTCTCTGACCAGAGTTACTCGAGTATTGTTCCAGTTCCTCATCAGCTCCTGACGACGTCTGAGCCGTTTCCACGGAGACGCTGTAGCATTTTCCATTTTCACTGCTGCTGTTACAGAAGGATGTTGGTTCTTTCCCTTCTTTGGCCTGAGGAGGATGTTGTTGCTTCTACTGCTGTTGTTCCACTGCCTCCTACTGGCCACAAGCTGCAACTACATGGTTTTCAGGCCTTATGGTGGTTTCAGACCGCCAACGCTGGAACGCACATTCTCTAGTTTTCAGACGCACGGGACTTCACACCAGAACGTCCTGGTCAGCGGCGGAAGTGGCGGAAGTAGCAAGCGGACTTTGATGCTAACGGAGTTAAGCTAGAGGGTTTTTGTGTTAAGTTCGTCTCCAATAAGGCAGCTCTGCAGGGTCTCTGTGTCCGGAGACCTTCCACGGACTTTATATAACAGTAGTATGTGTTCTCGGAGGTGCGCAATAAGTTTATTTTATTATTAAACGGTACTTCCGCATCGGCGAACACACTCGAAGCAGTTGCATAAAGTCACGGGAGCATGACAACACATATGTTAACAAGCACTATGTCCCCCACTGTCAACCCTGGTTTAGTCCTGATGTAGCTCCTGTTTTGGCTGTTAACAGTATGTTCAGTCTGCTCGCTCAGTCCGCTAATGTCCCCGTGACCACTTTGTGGCGCTCTGATTGGTTGCTGCACGAACGTTCCGAGGAAATGTTGAGCAAAATTCATCTCCTGTGTTCCTCCCCTTCGACTTCCCCGCGCAGTCCATGTGTGCATTCCGAGACGCTCGTGCGTTTTGATGCTCGAACGTGCGTCACCATTGACTTTTCATTAAAAGCCGACGCAGCATGATCCGGTCTGAACGCACCATTAGACTCTCACTGTTTATTTGTCTCTTCATGAGTTTGAATGTAGCATTAAGGCTCCAAGATATATATATATGTATACTGTGTGAATATAGACATATTATATATACAGTATATATATTATATATATAAATATATATTATATATATATATATATATATATATATATATATATATATATATATATATAATATATATTATATATATAGAAATGTGCAGTGCTAGGAACAGCAAAGATACTGCGCAGAACCCTCAAGCTCCCAGGCCTCTGGTAGAGGACCCAAGCTTAGAGAGGGATAACCGCCCGCGGAGGGCCAAAGGTGAGTGGACAATTTTTTTTTTTTTTTACTGTGTAAACACAGAGAGTATTGGTCCGTGTAACATGCACTAAACACATGTTTCTGAACGACTGAACACGAACCACAATCTCTGCGTTTGAAACTGATTTAACCTTTAGTGATATTTTACCAGTGCGTCTTTGGTCTCTCTCTGGTCTCTCTCTGGTCTCTTTCTGGTCTCTCTCTGGTCTCTCTCTGGTCTCTCTCTGGCCTCTCTCTCTGGTGTCTCTCTCTCTGGTCTCTCTCTGGTCCCTCTCTCTGGTCTCTCTCTCTGGTCCGTCTCTCTGGTCTCTCTGGCCTCTCTCTCTGGTCTCTCTCTGGTGTCTTTCTGGTCTCGGGCCGCACCCTCAGAACCTACAATTAAACCATTTTTAACTCAAACCCATGTCTGTAATTTAGACTCTTCAGGATCTGAGGCCTCAGCTGTAACTGGGCGTGTGCTCACA